TGCAAAGTGTGTGTCCAGCAGGCACTGGCTGAACCAGGGAGCAGTTGACAGTGTGGTCCTTCTCCTGTGGGGCCCGTCATTCCTACTGTCTTGTGTTTTTAGTCTCTTTCTACTTCTTTCTGTGATGCATGTGAAATAGATCTTGAAGACACAGTTTACCCAATAGGAAAAGAAAGAACAATTTCAAGTCAAGGACAGATATAGGCTACAGAAAGTGCTTTAGGCTTCTGCAAGGCAGCTTTGGAGTTTAAAGTTGTTCAGTGGGACAGACCTGAGTTCCAACGTCTGATTGGGGTCTCAATGAATTTTTTTTTAAGATTTCATTTATTTATTATGTATACAGTTATCTGTATGCATGCTTGCACGCCAGAAGAGGGCACCAGATCTCATTACAGATGGTTGTGAGCCACCATGTGGTTGCTGGGAATTGATCTCAGAACCTCTGGAAGAGCAGTCAGTGCTCTTAACCTCTGATCCATCTTTCCAGCCCCTCAATGAAATTCTTATACTTTTTTTCTTGGTTTTTCAAGACAGGGTTTCTTTTTCTTTTTCTTTTCTTAGCAGATAACATTAATATTTAATGCACAATTTTAGTTTCTTTTTTCATAATTCTTTTTTTTAATTTTTTTAATTTTAATTAGAAAGATTATTATTTTACATGTCAATCCCAGGTCCCTCTCCCTCCCTTCCTCTCCTACCCCCCCCAACAAACACCCTACCTATTCCATACCCTTTCTGCTCCCCAGGGAGGGTGAGGCCTTCCGTAGGGGGTCTTCAGAGTCTGTCATATTCTTTGGGATAGGGCCTAGGCCCACCCCCTTGTGTCTAGGATCAGGGAGTATCCCTCCATGTGGGATGGGCTCCCAAAGTCCATTCCTAAGCTAGGGATAAGTACTGATCCACTACAACAAGACAGGGTTTCTCTGTGAAGCTTTGGATCCTGTCCAGGAACTAGCTCTTGTAGACCAGGCTGGCCTTGAACTCACAGAGATCCGCCTTCCTCTGCCTCCCAAGTGCTGGGATTAAAGGAGTGCACCACCAAGGCCTGGCTAAAAATCTTATACTTCTGACAGAGTACAGAAACTACAGCCTGACTGGCTGCCCTTGGAGGTGAAAGAGTGGGTGTGTGAGCCACCCATCCTCCTGATACTGAGAGAGAGCAAGGTAGCAAGCAAATGGGCTGTGACTCCTGCTGCTCCTGGGCAGTTAGCCCTTAATGGTGCCAGTTATGTGGAGTCACTGTCACTTGGGGTGTTAGCTTAGGCAAGTGACTCAGCTTTCTACTACGGTTCTTTGATGGGACCTAGCGCCCCTAAAACTGGAGTTACATATGGTTGTGGGTTCTAGGAACCAAACCCAGGTCCTCTGCAAGAGCAGCAAACACCCATAGTGACTGAGCCATCTCTCTAGTCCCAATAGGAAACATCTTTTTATTTTGTGGCCTGAAAAATAGTTTCACAATTCTATTAGAGAACACAGCCCCCTCTACCCACTCCACCCTTCCATGCTCCCAGGTAACCAGGCCCTAAAATAGACAGAACTGCAAAGAAGGTAAGGATACACCCAGGGCCCTGCTACCTGAGGATCAGAGGCAGTCTGTCTATTGACTACCAAGGTCCACTCTCCTGCCCACAGAGTGACCCCTGATACAAAGGCTAAATCATAAATGACCTGTTCTCCTGCCTTGGCCATGTAGTATAGGAACGCTATTAACAAAGACAGCTTCTTCATGATACAAGAATTCTTTCCTCAAAAACCCTTACCAGTAGTAACCTTGCTTTGTCTGGTAGAGCTGAATCACTTCAGGTCCTCCAACATACTGCCTACTCTACTTTAATAGATGCCTAAAGGCCACCTGTCTGCCTTCTCAGCCTCATCTATGTCAGGAATAAGACGACTTAGCACTGAGGGACAGTATTTGACCTCTGCATACACAAAATGTGATGCCCCGTCAACAGGGTGAACCACGAACCAGAGGTCCTGGGGGAAAAAGCCATTCCTGTGTTAAACATGCAGAGCTGTTTAAAACTGCATTGGCTGTAGACATTAAACAGTTGCAGGTCCAAAGCCAAATTATCATGGGCTATCCTAGCCCCTTAAACACCTATTTATTGCCTTCCTTTGTGTGTAACCTAACATCCTTGTGACAGGAACTCCAGTACCTGAAGAGTCGAGCAGCTTGCCTCAGATAATGTACTCCTGTGAACCAGTAAAAGATGTAAAATTCCTCTTCAGAAGACACCCCAACCAAACAGATAAGTGACGACTGATGGGGAGGCTCTGAGACACCCCCTTCTGGGTGGCAGTTTTTCTTCCTCTCCTTATACCTTATGTCTGCATGAGAGACCCTTACTTCCTTCAGGGTGGAGTCATTCTTTTGAGCCTTCCAGTGTCATGAATTTCCTAACAGTCTTCCTTCTGACTCTTTGATTCCCTCCCACATTAAAACTGCTTAAAGAGCCCACTGCGTTTAGTCTAGCTAACCAAATTGCTTGTCCACTGAATTGCACCCATTCTTGCTCTTTGCTTATGCCTTGACGCTAGAGCTACCAGCACCAGCCCAAAGCTGGGCTTTGAGGAGTGTCTTCCAAGGAAATTTATGAGGCCAATCTTCTGGTCCCTTGTCAGTTGAGGGCTACTGGCCCAGAAACAGACTTAACAAAAGAGCCAAAATGTGATGCAATCCTAAAGCAGTCACAAAGAGTGATATACGCCTCCCTAGTGGATGGATGCTCACATATCTAACCTGGGACACAACTTTCAAGTTCTCATTCTCTATATGCAACAAGAAGGGCTCTCACTCACAGGTGGAAAACTTTATTAATCTCTACCAATGGGTGTAATAACTGAAATAATCTTAGAAACACTCATGACAACCCATTAAAAACACATCTTTACCACAGGTGTGGTGACACACGCTTTCATTCCCAGCACTTGGGAGGCAGAGGCAAACTGATCTCCTCTGTGAGTTCGGAGCCAACATAGCCAAAGCTACACAGAGAGACCCTGGAGGCTTCCCCTACAACCTCCTCCAAACTATCTTACCTAGCTATCAAATATCCTTCAGGGAGCTGATAGGCCAAAGGCTTGGTCTTATATGTCCTTCTTCTCCTTCCTGTCATGGCGCATGTCCTTCCCTTCAGTCTTCTACTTCCCTTGGCTCCCCTCTTCTCGATAAACTTATACAGTTCATTTTTTCCAGAAGTCAACAAATCCCAACTCCAAATGGTTTTACAAGTGAACAGTGTCCTCCTGATGCATGAACACAGAAAGCAGCCTCTGACCCAAAAGCCACCGCCTGACTACCCTTCATGAGACGGGGGGGGCTCCAAACCCAACGGCGCCCCAATTCAGCAGGAAGTAGCTGGACTGATTCCAACGCCCACTAATCCCTTAGGCACCCCCATCTCCTTTTCTATCAAATCACCCTTCTGATCCTTTTGGATATAAACAAAAAGACTGGAAAAGTTAGAGAACCTGAGCCGTCAAGTTACACAGGCCCTAATGGATAGGACTTCAAATAAGGCAAGAACACACTCAGCATGCATGCATACCTGCACATGCCTGCCACCCGGAAGTCTGAGGCTGACTACTGTCATGTTGAGTGAAACACGCATTAGCCAATGAATCAGACATCCCCTACTCAGAGAAGAGTAGCCCCTGTCATGTCACCTAAGTCATGAATATCCCATTTCCCAACCTTGATCATGTAGTAGAATAGGTCACATGTTAACTAAACCTGCTTCCTCATGGTGTAAGACTTCCCCTTCCCCCTGGAAACCTAAAAATAGACACTCTGTTTTCAGACTCCCTGAGTACTGCCCACTGTGATGTTAATAAATCTCTCATCTGAAGGATGATTCAACTCAATGTCTCTTTTGAACTCCCTGGTTTCTCCCTTCTCAAAACTTTACAATATGTCTCCTTAGCAGCTGACACCTCTGAGTCTGTTACTTCTCTCAGAGTGAACAGGAAGCTGAAAACTTAGTGGAAGTAGAATTGCTATGTAGGGGAGAAAAAAGAGAAAGAGAAAGAAATTAAGTCATAAAAGTTTGGTTATGCCTAACAAAGATGTGTGATTCATTCACCAGAGTCTAGGCCCCATCAGCACCAGGCTCACTTTCTGTGATGTGTTCCAGGGTTCCCATCACCTCAGAGGAGAGAGTGGGCAGCCAGGTGCAAAATTTAATACAAATCACCTCCAGTGATTATAAGCAGCAAAAAATGGCACTGGGGGGAGGGTCGCCAATTTAATATGTTCCCACCCAAAACTCAGATAAGTTCTGAGATTGAGTTATTTCCCCAATGTCAGGCTTAGAAGACAGTCATTTCTAAACAGTCACATGACAAGGGACCTTCACCAAGAGCTTGGGATTCATGAAAACTGCTGTCGTGTCCAGGTGCTTCTTTATGATGAGTTCCTGAAGTAGAATTGCCATCCAGGAGGATAACAATGTGAAAAGCCCCTTTCTCTAATTCACAAGTATTGAACAAGTAGTCAATAATCACCCGGAAGTACTGGGTGCCCTGCAGTGTCCCAAAGCACCCCCCAGGCTGCTGGAAGGGGGGCCTTTCCCTTTTCCTTGCCAGCGGAAGGGACTGTGAAGCTCCTTCCTCCTTGTCAGTCTCTATGAACTCAGTGATGATTTCCAGTAGCTTAAAGTTTTGACTGTAAATGAAATGCATATATGTGCAAAGAAAAATCATGGATAAATATTGATGCCATTTTGGGGACCAGAAGAGCTTTGTTGTTTTTGAGACAGGATTTCTCTGTGTAGCCCTGGCTGTCCTGGAACTTGCTTTGTAGACCAGGCTGACCTAGAACTCAGAGATCCCCCTGCCTCTGCCTCCCAAGTGTTGGAATTAAAGGTGTGTGGTAGGGAAGGACTTTTAAGGCATAACTCAAGCAACTATGCAAAAGGAAAAAGATAGACTAGGCTATGAGTTAGTTTTTCTCATTTCTGTGATCAAATTTCTGACAACAAACAAATCACAGAAGAGAGGCTATGAGTTAGCTTCTTTTCTCATTTCTGTGATCAAATTTCTGACAACAAACAAATCACAGAAGAAAGAGTTTATTTTCCACTATGTTTCAAGGAGCTGCTGTCCATCAGGGCAGGGAAGGCATGGCCATGGGAGTGGGGGCAGCTGGTCCAACTATTTATTGTTGGTAGTCAATGAGGGATGAATACTGGTATTCAGTTCATTTCCTCCCTGTTTATTCAGCCTAGTACCTCAGACCATGGAATAGCACAGCCTGTGTTCCAGGTGGGTCTTACCACAATTAACCAAGTCTAGGAGCTTCCTTCCTGACATGTCCCGTGCTCCATCTCTTAAGTGACTCTACATCCCATCACGTTGATAATATTGACCGTTACAGGCTACATCCAAATGTAAAGCTTCTGTAGATAGCAGGCACACTGGTAAACTTAGTCATAAAAGATTCAAATCTTTTCTTTGAATCTGAAGTAGAGAATTCTTAAAATTACTAAGTGGTTACATGAGACTTTTAGAATTAAGAGGGAGAGGAGGGTGTTCATTGGTTGTGCAGCCAAACTGAGCATGTGCAGAAGTGTGCTAACTTCCAGCCAGGGATGCAGAGATGGACCACACAGGCCTCCACCTCGGATGTGCTTGGAAACCAACCCACAGAGCACAGAGGTCAGCCTGAGAGGCTGGTGCTGAGAAGGATCAGGGCATCTATGGAGCCAGAGATCACCTCCCTACAAAGGAACAGGTGCCACAGAAGGGGACATTTCAACTGACTTTTATTTTATTTTGGCTTTTCGAGAGGGTTTCTCTGTGTAACAGCTCTGACTGTCTGGAATTTGCTTTGTAAAGCAGGCTGGCCTCAAACTCCCGGAGATCTGCCTGTCTCTGCCTCCCTAGTGATGAGATTAAAGGCGTGTGCCACCACTGCCCCTTGTATTTTTTAATTTATATGTATGTGTGTGTGCCTGCTTGTCTGAATGTACACCACATTTGTTCAGAGGTCTGTGGAGGACCCAGGAACTGGAGCCACAGGCAGTTGTGAATGAACCACCTGATGTGGGTTACTCTGCAAGAGTAACAGGTATTCTGAACACAGAACCATCTCCCTAGTGTATATTTTGGTACATTTGGTGAATATACGCAACTATGTCCAAGAGACAGTTCCCTCTCATTCATACCTAGATAACTAATGCTCTTTCTGTCTCTGCAGTTTTGTTTTTCTAGAAATTTAATACAAATGGAATCGTATAACATGTACTATTTTCTGTGGGTTTTATTTCATTTAGCATATTTGTGTGTGTGTGTGTGTGTGTGTGTGTGTGTGTGTGTGTGTGTGTGTGTGCTATGTACAAGCACATGTGTGCATGCTGCATGTGTGTGTGCAAGCACATGTGTGTCTGTTGTGCAAGCCCCTCCCCCCCAACACACACATGCATGTGCGGTGTATGTGTTCATGTAGAGGCTAGGTGCTCAGTATTTCTCTGCCATCATTTTTGAGACAGGGTCTCCACTGACCATGGAAGTCAGCTATTTGGCTAGGCTGGCAGGGTAGAAAACACTCTGGGACCCAAACCCAGGTCCTCTGCAAGAGTAACAGGTACTCTGAACACAGAACCATCTCCCTAGTGTATATTTTGGTACATTTGGTGAATATACGCAACTATGTCCAAGAGACAGTTCCCTCTCATTCATACCTAGATAACTAATGCTCTTTCTGTCTCTGCAGTTTTGTTTTTCTAGAAATTTAATACAAATGGAATCGTATAACATGTACTATTTTCTGTGGGTTTTATTTCATTTAGCATATTTGTGTGTGTGTGTGTGTGTGTGTGTGTGTGTGTGTGCTGTGTACAAGCACATGTGTGCATGCTCAAGGTGCTGAGAATCCAAACTTAGGCTCTTATGTTTGTGCAGGCTCTGCTGACTGTGCAGGCTCTGCTGAGGGAGCTGTCTCCATAGCCCTTCATTTAGCCTGGCATCTTTCAGAGTCACTTCTTTTAATTGCTGAGTAGTGTATGCATAGACCCACCTTGTTTTCTCATGTGTTAGCCGATGGACATTTGAACTGTTTCTGGCTTTGGAGCTGCTGTGAAGAACGTTATTAACACTCATGTACAAGGTGTCTGCTCATGAACATCTTTGCTCATTTTTTCAGCTTAGGAGTAGAATTGCTAGGTCACATGCTACATGTGTGGTGAAGTTGAAAAAAATCTTTTTCCTGAAGTGGCTGCACTGTTGTACATTCTCAGAAATGTATGTGAGGTCCAGTTGTCCCACATCCTCCGTAACACTTAGCATCATCTGTGTCCTTCATTGTAGCTATGTGAGTGAATGTGAGCTAGTGTCACACTGGGACTTTAATTTGTATTTTCTTGTTATTCATAGTATTGAACATCTCTTATGTGCTCATGTGTTCTTCATATCTCTTCTTTAATGAAATGTCTCTAGTTTTCCTGTTTTGAAATTGGGCTGCTTGTAAATTCATCAGATATTGTTCAGCCAGCATTCTCTCTCAGACCATGGCTTGTCTTTTCATGGTAACTTTGAAAACCGAGATGCTTATTTTATTTTGGTTTTTCAAGACAGGGTTTCTTTATGTAGCTTTGGGGCCTGCCTGGAACTCACTCTGTAGATCAGGCTGGCCTAAAACTCACAGAGATCCATCTGTCTCTGCCTCCTGAGAGCTGGGATTAAAGGTGTGCACCACCACCACTCAGCTAAGATGCTTAATTTTCATGTATGAATTTCTGTTTTTGAGACTGAGTCTTACTACGATGTTCCAGCTGTCCTGGAACCTCACATGTCTCTGCCTCTGACTACCACTAGATTATGGGGCTGTGTGATTATCACAATTGGCCTGTTAAAAAAATTGCTTTTGTTTTGTGTGTATGAATGTTTTGACTGCATTCAAGTATGGGCACCATGTGTGTGCCTGTTGGATCCTCAGGAACTGGGGTTATGGATGGTTGTGAGTAACCATGTGGATACTGAAACTTTCAACAAGGTGCTCTCAACAAACAACCCTCTCCAGCCCCTGTATCTGGCTATTATTTATTTATTTGTTTGTTTGTTTTGGAAACAGGGTTTGTCTGTATAACAGCTCTGGTAGTCCTGGCCCCAACTCTGTAGACCAGAACAGGCTTTGTCTGTATAACAGCTCTGGTAGTCCTGGCCCCAACTCTGTAGACCAGGCTGGCCTCAAACTCACAGAGATCCTCCTGCCTCTGCCTCCTAAGTGCTGAGATTAAAGGCATGCGCCACGACTGCTAGCCACCTGGATTTTTAAAGTGCTTAATTATGATGAATTTGAATTTAGCTTTCCCCCTGACCCTTTATTATTTTTGTGTCCTACTGAAGAAATATTTGCCTGCTCTGAGGTCACAGAGATTTTCTTTTGTTTCATTTGTTTGTTTCTTAGAGATTTATAATTTTAAGGGTTTTTGTTTTGTTTTGGGGTTTATAGTCCATTTCTAATTCACTGTTGTCTACAGCATGAGTGAGCAGCAAAGATTTATTTTCCTTTCATTCAGGTATCCAGCTTTCCAGACACCGTTTGTTGAGACCTTTTCTCTATGAATTGCCTTAGCACATCCGTCCAGAACTAACCTGTAAGCCACACCTGTAAACCACACTTGTAAGCCATACCTGTAAACCACATCTGTAAAGCACATCTGTAAGCCACACCTGTAAGCCATACCTGTAAGTCACATCTGTAAGCCAACAGTTTCATGGGAAATGCTTAACACCGCTGGGAACAAAGGAGGGAACCCGTGGGTGGTGTTGGCCACTATTCACTGGTGTGAATAGTCTCAGGTGGCTGAGAGTTACCAATCATTTAGCAATCAGTCCACCCAATCCCTGAGAATCTGTCAGCTCTGTAAGCCAATTCGAGTCAGCTTCAGCACACCAAGGTGTGCAAATGTGCACGTCTGCTCTCTCCTTCCCCTTCCTCAGGCACGTGCACACAAGGCTGTCCGCAAGCAACACATTCGGTTGCCATAGCATTCTAAGTTTTGAAATCAGGTATCATAAATTCTCAAAATTGCTTTGACAATTTCTTTTCATATATATATATATATATATATACATATATATATATATATATAATCAGCTTGCTCTAGGATATTGATAATGGTGGCTTTAATTTATAGAGTAATTTCTAGGTAATTACCATCTTAACAATATTGAGTCTATTCATAACAGTTCTTCTGTTTCTGCAGTTGTTATTGTTGTATTTTACTTT